CCGAAAGCAAACCCTCGGCTGGCTTCTGTAACTGTTCTCTGTCCAGAACATAACGATCAATTCTGCTTTTTCGACGAAGATTGTGGCCGTGTTATTTGTAGAGACTGTTATACCCTTGATCATAGTGGGCACAAGTGTGTAGTAGTAGCTGAAGCCGCTTCAAAATACCGACAGGAGATGGAGGCGCTTGTCACCAAAGCCAGCTGTCAAGTTGAAAAGATTAAAGTTGCTGATACTCAAGTGGTGGAAGAAGCTCTTTTAATGGGTAAAGGTTGTGAAGAACAGCGTGAAAAAATTCAAGGCTTTTTTAAAGAGGTATGGCATATCTTTGTTTTGGGGGTGAATGATCTTGACGCAACAAGAAGTATTCCTTACCACTTACGAGTTATGATCCGAATTTTCTATTGCTGATTAACAGTTTGTGCTAACAATTAGATAAAGAAAGATAATAATCTCAACGTGGAATGCAGAAACCAGTGATTTGTTAATATTTATCCTGAACTAAGGCCAGTGAACTAGCTATTTAAGGGTAGGCCGCTCCCGGATCATGATTATTGAACGTAGTCACTGAACTTACCTCGTAGCTAGCCTCCCACACGGACGTAAGCCCTAAGAACGTACGCGTTAAAGGCTTCCTAGCCTGCGTGCAGACTTCTCCTCTCTCCTTTGCACACAAATTACGCACTTCGGGACCACATATCAACCGTTTTTTACCTGGATTGTTTGTGTCGAATAGATTGGCAGATATTACAAAGCGTCTGTTTTCTTTTCTGTTTATAGCTTCATTCGGCACTATCTAACCGAGAGCAAGTTTTGATGGATAAGTTGTCCAGTAGATATCAACACAAGGTGTCCATCCTATCGGAGCAGCAACACCGTTTGCGATTAAACCAAAGATTGTTAGAGGACGCACTCCAACGGGCAAAATCCTCTATCCAATCTCCGAGCGATGTTCAGTTCCTTCTCAGCAGGTCGGATATAGTCTCCACGCTCGAGTCCGAAAAAAGCTACTCAATGGTGCTTGTGCCAGAGGCCCAGTTTTTGCCGGAGTTCACCAAGAACGAAGTAAAAAGAATGGTGAGAATTCAAATTCTTATTTTAGTTATCCATGAATTAGCCTTGGACCAGAGGCTAACGGTTATCTTCGGGCACCATTCTTTTCTCCGAGATAAATAGTCTAGCAGATACTTTTCACATAGCAGTTGTCATCTACCCTGGTCCAAGACGTTGTTCTCAGTGAAAATTTTCTCCGCGCAAGAGAAAACGAGCTGCGAAAAGCGTCGATCTGGGACCCGGGCAGTTGTCATTTATTTCTGTTCTTGCTATGTTTTAGGCCGTACTTAAGATATTCTTTTTCGAAAAACGTGTGAAATTTTCCGCCTTTCTCTCCAGCTCTACCAAAAGAGCCTGAACTGAGTTAACACAACCACAAACTTCACAACCTCTCCTTCACGATTGATGCCTTTTTTGAGATATCGGAAACGTCGTCCAAATTTGGCAACGCTAACTAGTTCTGAAGAATTTGCCGAGGATTTGAGCCAATCAGAAACGGAGAAATGTTACTCTCCTTTTACACTATAGTGGATGCAACGCTCGTTGCTTGTGTCGCAGTCACTCCACACCGCTTGTATAGACTATACCAATGGTTAAGACGATGCGTGGGCCAGCTTTGCGCACAGTGATTGGTCGTTGTTACCCATGATCTATTAGAGTACAGACTCTCCAAAACGCTTTTCTCAGTTCACAAATATATTTGTCTACGAACTCATCTGATAGCTGCTTTAAAATCCTTAATAAAACTGCAAAAGAGACAGAATATCAAGTGATCATGATGAATATGCGTGCGAAATAAATCGTTTATTAGTAAATGAGCTTTTCAAAACTGAATTTGTGAAGAATGTAGTATAGGTAAACTCACTGTAACGATCTCTTTCAGCCTGTTCGCAGACGCCACCCCAACAATAGTAAAGAGATAGAGGAGGTTATCCAGAGCGCAGGCGACATAAGTGACATATCAACCTGTGCAGCAAACACTACTGCAGCTGGTCCGGGAATAACAACTGCAAACCCTGGAAGGACGGCGAGATTCACTATTACTTCTCGCGACAGCGAAAACTTTGAACGCAAGCTCGGTGGCGACGTTTTTGAGGTGAAACTGGAACCAGAGGTGGGAGGAGATGAAATAAAGGTAGAATTGAACGACCAAAAGAATGGAACTTACTTGGCAGAATATATTGTCGACAAGTTGTGTGGCAAATTGACATTGTCGGTATTCTTGCGAGGTGCACACATCAAAAACAGTCCTTTTTCTGTTCTAGTTGAACCTAGAAGGGAAGATAGGCCAGCCCATAGATATCGGCGAGGTGAATATTTTAGCGCGAGAAGGCGAGGTAGATATGAACGTAGAAATCGAGACGAGACAACAGGGGACCAGGCGACATCGTTAATCGAAGTGCCGTTTGACTAAGCGCGAGGAAGCGACCACGAGAAGAGGAAAGACGAGGTGTCGCTAGCTTTCTCGTTCCTGTCATCCTTTGCTTGCAAAGTTATATCTGGAAACGAGGCTGTTAAGACTTTTAAAGAAGGCGGCGCAGCTCGCACAAAGAGAATTGTTAAATGCAAGTCGTGAAAGTGTTGATTCACGTGGTGAGAAAGGGTTTTCTATTTTTGCGATTGGTCATGTGATAACTTTCAGTGAAATAATATTAAGTATTCCTTACATAAGCTGCATCTAATGAAGGAAACAGAAGAATCGTTTCAGAGATGGGGCTTTTTCAATTGGTACAACTCGTTCAAGTCAAGCAATTGGCGAAACCTCAATAACATCGACATAAAACTGACACTACACATGGTTTATTACAACAAAGATTGTCAAAACTTACTGTTCCTGGACGGATTAACAAAAATGTGAAGGTGACTTCACTCAGTTCTTTTAGAAATTACGGCTCTTAATAGGGGCTAACATACAAAGATAAGTCGGATAGAATTCAATATCATATGAACTAAAGAACTACATTCAACTTTGTCATGCACTCATGGCTTTCCGTCTTGTTTCATCTTTTAAGATGATTTTCAAAGTGATTTTAAAATTGTTAAGCCTTGATATTTGCTTGTAGAAAAATAGTTATTCTTCAGACTCGCCCGTGTCGCCGATTGACTCTGAGATTTGGTGATTATAGAAAACTGAGTGAATCAAGTTCCAAAGGGGAGTGGGGAGGAGGCGAAGCAATCGAAAAAGAGCCAGGGCGGGAGGTTTGGATCCCCCCCGGGTACAAAGATTGTTACCCGTTGCACGACTCGCACGACTCCTGCTACCTTTGAAGCCCCATCTCTACACTACAAGATACAGTTCCGCCAGTTGTAGGGCTTGTAATTTTTACAATAGTTATAGGTGAATAAAATTGTAATGTAGCAAGATGTAACTGGAACCTTAATAAAAATAAGTGAACTGCAGTCAAAAAATGAAAGCAATAGATTTATAAGAAATAAATCATATATGAGAACTGCGGAAATGAAATCAAAGGAAGAATGATCCTCGCAGTTGTGAAGGCAATTTATGCAATTGCGTGTTGGTCCTGCGTGCTAGTGGCATGATGCATTGCGGCCTCGCTTCAACCTCGCCTCTTGGCCAGCTCAACGAAATTCCGGGTACGTTACGCCGAGGTCTTGCCCCTTCCAGCAGTGTTGTCAAATGTAGCTGGTAAAATATCCCAGCTTTAGTTAGAACACTCGATTTCTGTGCATCAATAGAAAAGAGAAGGAAGTATGACGTCACGTTACCATGGTAGCAAAATTTCTAGATCACAACAATAGGGAGCTTAAGCAACGACGACGGCGACGGCAACGAGAAGAGTTAAAAAGTAATAAGTTTCTATTAGCAAATCAACAACTTTGCACGTGCATCACACTTTTTTGTACATTTCATTGCGCGACTGTCACATGAAACCTCCTAATTTCACGCGCTTGCGTTAATGGAGTAGAAACACAACACAAAATGTTCCTTTTCTTTTTCTCCAAAAATTTGGCCAAAATTTGACAAATTTAATGAAATTGAATAAGATCGATTAAGTTTGAAAAAGTGCGAATTCACTTTTTAAGTGAATTTACGGTTTGTTGTCATCCAGAAATTTTGCTTCCATGGGAACGTGACGTAACGACTAATTCTGATTTTACAAAATCTTCCCAAATTCCCAAATCCAAGTTCTTGTCAAACTGAGAAACTTGCTTTTTGCATATTACTGCAGACAATTTTTTGGGGGGTTTTGTGGTCGGCAACTTTCAACTGTGCAGCTAATCGTGTTTTGTTTTACTAAATTTCTATTTAAAAACTAATAGCGACTGCCTTTTCTAAATAATTGTCATTTGACAACATAAGGGACTTTTTATTTTCGAAACGACACTACTTTTTTTTGTAAATTGGAACGTTTTTGGGAACTTTTGTTTTAATGGGCTGACAATATCGTCTTCCGGGGAGTAGATACAATATTCCCCATATTTGCCCGTACGGGGAGACTCCGCCCGAAAGGGGTATCTTTTTCAGGCCTTTTTTTTGTTAATCCTCCAAGCTCATGCTTCGGTGGCCTGAATGGGTACCGTATTTATTCGAATAAGCGCCCAACCTCGAATTAGCGCCCACCTCGAATAAGCGCCCCCCTCTCTCCCACGCAAACTCCAATAAGAGAGTAACCTTGCTTTGTTATAGCCTGAAATTCATCCGATTGCTTCGAGTCGTTTTCTCCTCTCAACAACGTCGTTACTGAGCGAGTAATAACGACTCGAAGTAATCGGATGAAATTCAGGCTAGCTTTGTTACATCTTCGCTTTCTTTTGTTACCATTTATTGTTTTGTTGCAAAATAAATATACTACCCTTGCTGAGAATGGTGAAAATTTAATAAGCGCCCACCTCGAATAAGCGCCCACTATCAAGGTCAAAAAAGTTAACAAGCGCCCAGGGCGGTTAATCGAATAAATACGGTACTTTCCTTGTGTAGTTTAATCCTGCCATACGGTACGCGCGTCTAAAAGTCCGGGTGATAATCGTAATACAGTCCGGACGCATTGCGCACGACGTATCCGGTTCGTTTCCCTCATTAAGGAAAAAAAAGTTTTGTCGCGCACACCGATAACCCATTGCTGGTTAAGATACTGGAGACCAGACTATGGAGAGTGAAAACCCAAAGGATTGGTTAGGTGAATTCTGTATTTGTCTGCCGAGCTAGCCTGCGTAGCAAGCGTTTCCGTGCGGTTTAGGAGCAAAGAACGAGTGAACGAGAGTCTTTCTATGCTCCGAAACCAAACAGAAACGCTTGCTACGCAGGCTACTGCCGAGCCCGATGTTCCGGCCGGTGATCAGCCTTTAATCCCAACCTCCCCTCCCTTGCAAAAGCAACAGTTTAGCACATCGTCACGTGCCCAAAATAGTTCACGGCGGCAACAAGGCGGAAGCGATGGTGGTTAATGAGGTTCTTGCACTCGTTTTATTGAGCTTTTTGTCTCACTTAAGGTGCGTATAACTTCTTTACTTAAAGAAATACAACGTAGAGCGTATTTTTAGGCAGTGGAATAGACTAATTCATGCTTATTCTGCGATCGCTTATTGTCTCCATCGATGCTTACCCACGCCGTCGCGCGCGTTTAGCTAAATTACAGTCAAACCAGGTCAAGCGTTCCCGTCGCTAACAAACTAATGAATTCATTAATGGAAAAATGATTTCGTTTGTTGATTCAATAATCCATTCATAAAATGAATAATCCAACAGTCAAATTGTACCTCGATTCAATAATCAAATGTTGATTTGGTTTATGAACAAAATCTACCTGTTCTTTATTCTTGTCTGTTGTGTTCAATCACATTTGCTTCCCTTTTCCTGCCGTTTACGATTGCGTTTTTCATTGCCTTTAATCAAAATAACAGCTAGAATAGACAGACCGCAAACGCAAAGAAACTGACAAAGGCCGAGGATCGAAATCCACCAATCACCGCACATACATTGACCTCAGTTTGACCGTCGTGTTTTCTAAGAGGTCAGGCCTATGTCTGTTGCACTGATTACTGGCAGCAAGCTGGCGTACATGTAACAGTTTGTTTGGGTTTGAACTTCAGAACTCGCCAGCACTTGACTCTCAGAAAAAAAAAGAGGAAAAAACGAAATTCTGAGGTCAACTTGTGGAAAGTGTAATTTTTCAAAAAACAGTAATCGAATCAACATTCGATTATGGAATCGAGGCTAAATATGACTATTGGATTGTTCATTTTATGAATGGATTATTGAATCAACAAACGAAATCATTCTTCCGTGAATGAATTCATTAGTTCGTTAGCGACAGGAACGCTTGACCTTGTTTGACTGTAGGCTTACATTTGTTTGGAAAATTTTGATTTTCAAGTTCAATCTGTGGATTAACTCTTATTACTTTATAATTTAAATGCAAGCCTTACTAAGAAAATGTTTCTTTATTTCAGTTTGAGGCGTTATTTTACGCAAATAAACAAATGGGATACAGTTTATGTCTTGCATACCGTAAACGATCTAACAAACGCCCACTCTCAAATAAACGACTCTTATCTAATATACCGGTAGCCCGCAAATACTAGGAAATGGCGAAATAGAGCAAAATCAATCAATTTATTAATTTCATTGCTTGATTAACATCAGTTTGTGTATTATGTCATGTTCAATTTCTAGATAAGCCGTCAGGCCCGCAGTCGAGATTCTGTGAACACAAAAACGTTTTTAGCCGAAAGCATACTGTATTTAAAGGAATAGAAAACGTTTTCCGTGTTTGCATAGCCTGATATAAACACGAGAGGGGTTGGGAGAATTCAAGACAGTTATGCAAACCCGAGACGAAGTCGAGGGTTTGCATAACCGTCGAGAATTCTCCCAACGCCTCGAGTGTTTATATCAGACTATGCAAACACAGGAAAAAAGTTTCCTATTGCTTTTATAAAATAACTTTCCCTAGAAAAAAACGCAAAACTCTTTGTATGGCACTTATTAAAAGAGAAATTCTTACCAGTCGCAAAATCTTGTCCACGAAGTCTTGCACGCGTAATGAGTTCTTGTTTTGCAAAAAGATGCTTTGCAAAATACGGAGTTTTCTCGCTTAAAATGTCAGCTTAAGCGAAGAAAAATTGACTCACCTTCTTTGTAACAATTTTCCATGTTTCAGCCGACGAAGGAATGGGTAAATAAAGTAAACTTGTCAAGTTTTAAACTCGAAAACTTTTTCAAATTTGGTGCTTGCGTGATTAGCGCGCGAAAAGCCGAACAACTTGACGCCACAACCATGTTTACATACTCTCATGCAAACACTGCTCTCGGCCAATCAGAGCGTGCGTACTATCTTAGTTATTTTATAAATTAATAGTTATGTTGAGTTCGTTAAAATAAGTTACGAGAATAAACGCCTCTCTCTTTTAAACGCCTCCCATCTATTAAACGCCCCTTCTTGGACCCCTAAAATTAAATAAACGCCCCGGGCGTTTATTAGATCA